CCCCAAAACCCCAAAACCCCTTAATCAAATAAATCCGTAACATTTTAGAATTAAAATAGATAAATTTAATACATCTTAAAAACATTTTTAAATTGCTTTGTTTACGAATTTTTTAATATTATCGAATTGAATACTATCGTTTATCATCATTAATTCTACTTAAATAATTTTTTATACATAAAATCCCCCGAAGATATAATAGTTGCACCTAAGAAACCAAATACCAAAGCCATCACTTCCAATGTTTTTATTCCTTATCCTGAAACAATTATCGATAAAATAGTGACATATAGTATTTAAGTTGATGCAAGAGATGCTGCAGGACCTGCAAGACCATTTGCAACAGCTAAAACTATAAGTACTTTTCCAGAAGCCATAAATAAACTTCCCACTGTACCAATAATGAGATCACTCCAAACAAGACTCTCATTTAAAAAGTAATATACTGCAAATAGGATGTAGATTTAATATTCAAAGATTAATGCATCAATTGACACATCCCAGGAATTATATTATTATCGATATTTTCTCACAAATATATGTTTTATTGAGAGGCACAATGGGGACAAGAAAGCATATATTAAACTTATACCAGCATTATATTATAAATCCTCATAAGATTATGGACTATTTTCAGGTATCTCCTACCTAGTACTGATAGAAACAAATGCTATACAACTCAGCATTACCAACATTCCAATGAATTAAATAATTGTTACTCTCTCACCAAATCCAAAATAAAATATAAAGAGATTGTAGACAGAAGTTAAGGTATTCAGAGTACTAACTATTCCTTGATTCATATTAGCTAATTTTGCATATTTGAACGCCATAGTTATGGTAACTAAGTTGAAAAGGTTGGTTAAACCATTACCTAGCAGTGGAATCAGATTTTTCCACTTAAAATTTTAGAACTCATCGAAATAGTTAGATCTTCCATAATTAACAAGGGTGCCGAACTTTCTCTTGTTTCTAATAAACTGATTTAACCTGTACCCCACAAGGATGACATAAGGAGCGAGACCAATGTTGCTTAGAGCTTTAATTCCATCATCTGAGAGGTAAGCAACCATGAAGTTTCCTATTCCAAAAAAGATGCCAGTAAAGATAGCCTAGATTATCCAAATATTGCTGTTCTATTTTGATAAGATTTGTTATTTAGCTAGAAGAGGCTCTTTCATTTAAATATTTAAATTAACTTAATATTTCCTTCTGCCAAGATTTAAAATCACAGATTCTTGGGGTTTTGGGGTTTTGGGGAGATCGGAAGAGCACAC